GAAAGTTATTTCTTTAAACCACCCAACTTCATGTGCAGAAGTTACGGACTAGTTCGACTGGATAATGTTTAAAGGGAGTTTTTAAAAATGTTAAAAAAAACGACTAAAAGCTCTCTTTTGTAACTCTCTAGTGGAAAAACGTTGTCGACCAGAAGGATCCTCATACTGTTGTCTATAATATTGAGGAGGACATTATATATCTAAAAAACGTTGTCGACCAGAAGGATCCTCATACTGTTGTCTATAATATTGAGGAGGACATTATATATCTAAAAAGTAAGGATCCCAACAAATCTTAATGCGAACATTAAAAAACACAAGTAAAAAAGCTGTAAGTTTGAACTTCCACCATTTGTAACGAAGTCGAAGTTTTCAAAAAATTCGTTAAAAATTCCGTTAAAATCTTAAAAACACCCAATGTAGCTGTTATTTATATCAGGGTCTATACGACGACATGGACCTGCATAGGTAACTTTTGTCATAAACCATTACAATATTCAAAAGCAAAAGTCAAAAAAAAAAAAAAAAAACGGTGAATAACGTCGCTAAAATCATCAAAATACCGAATATCGGGAGGTACCGTTATATGGGGGCTATATCAAAACGTGGACCTACATGGCCCATTTTCAATACCAAGAGTTCTGCAGACATAACATTCATTTGAGTAAAATTTTATCAACCTACTTCATTTCGTTCCGAAGCTAGACGGATTTTCACAGACGGACGGACATCGATAAATGGACATAGAATTTTATGCTGATCAAGAATATATAAGGGGTCTAAAATATATATTTCGAGGTGTTACAAACGGAATGACAAACCTAATATACCCTCTATACTATGGTGGACTTGGAATTTTATTGGACTTGGAAGAAATATTCTTTGAAATCCCACGTTGTAGTTCTTGAAGAAATATTCTTTAAAAATCTTCGAAACTAATCGTGCACACCAGCCAGAAAGACGAACGAACGAAAGGACATCGCTAGATCGGCACCAAATTTTTTGAAATATAATTCGTTATTTCGCTTAGGAATGAAGCAATATCAAAGGATTATACCGTGTTACAATTCAATTGTGATCTCCTTGTCATGATAATTTTTCCGGTTCAAACGTTTATCCCTCAAAAAGTAAAGCTGTGTTCTGTGCCTTTAGGTAAAAATGACTAAAAATCGAATTTCCCACCCAAATTGCATAGTTTAAAGGATATCGATTTATCGATTTAGTGGGATTTGAGATTAACAAATATTTTGAGATTTTTGTTTTGCAGGTTCCTAAGTCTGATATAAATATCTCGACTAAATCCTGAACTTTAAGGATTCCTAAAAGTCTCAATCCGAAAATTAAAAAAAAAATATGGAAGAGGAAGAACTTTCCTCCTTTACTTAGATTACTTTACGATGTAAACCATTCAAAACTTCGGTCCACAATCAATTCTATTCTTGGCCCCATTTTCAAAATCTGTTTTTTTTTTCTATAAATTATTTGAAATGGTGCACAGTGCAATCAACAAAGGTCCATGTTTTGTCGTAGCCACTCCAAAATGTTGCATACTTCTTTAGCTAAATTTCACCTTCACTGGATTTTAACAATCCAAGCACAAGTCATCTACAAAACATATTTTGATTGACCCAAAAGCCAATACGGCTTAAGTTGTCTTTAAAACTCTCAAAAGACCCAATACCTGGTGATACCCTTAAACGACTTTCTTCTTGATCTTGAGCGGCTATTTCGATGAGCCACCGTATCTGGCCGTATCAAATATTATGTATCCTCTGCTATATCGGTTATAAAAAATTATCGACATTTTTCTAAACCAATGACATCCGACAGAACCCACAACTGCCATGAGTACGTACAAGCAATCCTCACTTTTTAATTTTCCAATCAGATGTAAAAGTTTGTGAGGGACCTCCAATTGAAAATAGCCGGTAAGAACAATAACGAACAAGAGCAAGACATACCAAGTCCATTTGATTGGAAATCGACTAGGAACTAAAAAAATCTTCATAGAGAGTAGATTAAATAACTCTAGTAGATCTATATCTAATATTCTTCACTATTATTTGATTATAAAACAATAAAAATACTACTTACTCCAAAATATAGATTGTTCGCTACCGGCATTACATTGCAATTTTTGGCACACACTTTTTGCATCAACACTATTTGGCAAACTTCTTTCAAATAATCAAATTGGCGTAAAAAAAACATCGCAATATTACCGAGTTTGTTGTGTAATTAGGTAATTATTCACTTTTTATTTCACTTTTTTACTTTCCACAAAAATCACTATCATTTTCCCTCTTTTTTAAAAAACGAAAGCGTTGCTAGTTCTTCTTCTTCCTTGCTGGGCAATCAACTTAATTGTCATTCTAGTGTTGTAAAACGGATTTTATTATATGGCGAGTGGTTGCCACTTGCTTTCATTGACTTTTTGTTATCATTCCATTTGATTAGAGTGTAAATAGGAGCTGACCGTTAAATTAAATAATATCAGAAAATGTATAACAAACATACTTTTTCTTTAAATAAATAAACAACATACTTCAAATACGCATTGAACTGTATCAGCACAATGTATTAACTGTATCATTGCAGTTTTTGCCGGGCATGATCATGTGATTGATGATGATTAAATGAGAAAAATAAAATTAAAGTCTTGTAACTTCAAATTTACCAATAGCAAAATACACCAAGACATTTGTCAATTTTTAATAGAGTAGTTAGAAAAAATATTTTGCTTTTTTTCACATTTTCCACCAAAATTGCTGCGATTTTTTCTCATTTTTGAAATAAAAACGAAAGAATTTATATTTCTTCTTCTTTGCAAGACAATGAAGTAAATTGCTATTTAGTGTTGTAAAACGTATATTATGTTATAGTTGCCACACTAAATTTACGTTTGACGTCTAGGCTTGGTTCACTCAAATGAACGTAGCGCAAAAAGTAATCAAATGACTTTCAAATCACGTATCTTATATTTTTATAAACTATTTGGGTAAACCTTTAAAAAAATAAGATATTTTGTCAATTAATTATTGTTTTTGTGGTATAATCAAGCCAAATATCAATGTTTGGGTACATAGTCATTTTTCAAGATCTATATCTAAATTCCGAAAATTGCATGAAGTCATAATTTGAATTGATAATATGGTCCATATAATTTAATATTTGAAGATTTTTTCAAGTTGATAGTTGCTGCGACCCAATTGGTCCATCCGCTTAGTCCAATTTTCTAACGTTTCGGCCGGTATCCCAGAAATAAATGCTTCAATATTGTCTTACAATGCGTCAACTGAAGCGGGCTCGTCTGTATAAATATGAGCGCTAACATTTGCTCTGTACCAGAACTGCAAGAATTTAAGAAATTCTGAGATTCTTTAGGTCTTCTATGAGAAGTATGTCTTCTCATAGAAGACCAAAAGGTCATCTCATAGAAGAGCAAAATGTCTTCTCCTAGAAGACCAAAAGGTCTTCTCCTAGAAAACCAAAAGGTCTTCTCCTAGGAGACCAGCGAGTCTTCTCATCCAAAAGTTCTTCTCATAGAAGACTAGTGGGTCTTCTCGTAGAAGATCAGTTGGTCTTCTCACAGAAGACCACAAGGTCTTCTCATAGAAGACCAGGATGTTTTCTCATAAAAGACCACAATGTCTTCACTTAGAAGACCAAAAGGTCTTCTCATAGGAAGACCAGAAGATCTTCTCATAAGAAGATCAGTAGGTCTTCTAATAGGAAGACCAGAAGGTCTTCTCGTAGAAGACCAGTGGGTCTTCTCATAGGAAGACCAGTAGGTCTTCTAATAAGAAGAGGTCTTCTCGTAGAAGACCAGTGGGTCTTCTAATGGAGGAGCAGAGGGTCTTTTAATAGAAGACTAGAAGGTCTTCTCATGGAAGACCGGAAAGTATAGAAAAAAATCCAGATAATCCAAAAAAGTGCAAGAACTTACACCGCAAAGGAAAGAATATAGACTCAAAGGAGCCAAAGAGTTGCCTCGCTTGGCCGAAAGTTGTGAACTGCCAAATTTGGTTTTCTCCGATGGGAAAACATTTGTTGTCCAGCAGTTTGTGGGTGAACAAAATGATCGTGTATACTTGCCAAAGAGGTCAGCTGAAAATGTGCACCTTCGGATGGCCACCACAACTCAAGCGCCGACCATGGGGATGGTCACTCTCCGATCGTATTAATCGACCGTGGCATTCTAGAGGGTGTATTAAAGCCTTGGGCTCGCAAACATTTTGGCCGCACCCCTTGGATATTCCAACAGGATTCAGCACGCGCCACCCAAGAACGGTTACTAAATGAGGTGCCTCGCTTTATTTCCAGCGCACAATTGCCACCAAAATCTCCGGACACCAATCCGTTGGACTATTGTGTCTGGAGTATTTTGGAGAGCAAGGTTGGCACTAAAAAATACTAAAGCGTCGATTACCTCAAGCATTCCCAGGGAATGGGGCAAAATACCGCAGAGCAACATTCAAGCAGCGTGTGACAGTTTCATTGGCCGTTTGAAGTCCATAATTCGTGCCAAATGTGACCAATTCGAACAAATCTAAACTTATTCTAAAATTTGATGCTATTTCCGAAATTGTTTGCTTTCATTCAATAAAATTTTAAAAAAATGTATAAATGTTGGCGTTTGTCTTTGTAGCATATTTTTATCTAACCCTGTATTGCACATCTTTCTCAAATTTTCTAGATTTATCTGCATTCCTCGCATATGGACTCCTCCTATTTGGGAGAAAATTCCAGATGAAAGTAGAAATTTTGAGAAAATAAAAAACAATTCATAGACATTCATTTAACACTTGGCAGTTAAGCTGGAGTTTTATAAGAATTCTCTAAATGTTTCTTATTTAGTCGTTATGAAGTGAAATATCTATTACACAACGTGATATTAATATTCTCCAAGGAATTCCCCAGAAGCTCATATGGTTTCTGCGGTTTTCTGACAATTTCTAGATCTAGTTGTTCCCTCCTTTCCAAATAAAAACACATTTGCATTTATGGCATAAATTTTCAATATTAACAGTATTTGTTTTTTCTTTTTATTATTCCATTTCATTTTTCTTTTCATCTATATTTTCTTTTCAAATCAGTCTCTGGAATTTTTATGATTTACAACATTTATTTTTTCTTACGACATGCTTTCTCCTAGAAGTGCCGCCATTTAGCAAATTTTTTAGCTACATTTTTAATGCAATTTTTCTGTAGTTAATCCAGCTGACTACAAGACTTAAAAAAAATTGCTAAATGGCTTACAACAAATAGTTTTGATATTCTTCAATACACTTTCATGCGTAAATAACGACGACTGTTTGCTTGCTTTTGCTATCTTTTCTTGGCTTGTTTGTTTTTTTTTTTGTTTCTTTTATGCATTAACTTAAATCTTAAAGGCTAATTTAAATAATATATAGTACATCATTATATGTGTGTTGGTGTGTGGTTAAACTAAAGCAATACACTTGTTGCAAAGAACAGTTTTTTGGAATCGATACGTTTTTTGAATTTTGTAGGAGAGTGTAAAGGCCTTTTCATAACAAAGGTCCTTTTTCTTATGGGGTTCCAGGAGGTTGGTTTTTTTTTTGTTAAGAATTAAATAAAAACATTTCTTGACATAGCTTACAAACTAAAAACAAAATAAAGATTTCAACTAAATTTAGATTAATGTATACGCCTGGTGTGTATCAATTAATTAATTAATATATATAATGTACATGGGGATTTTGAATGATGTGATTTGATGATCGATGACACGGACGCGACGACAATATTCTTCATCCACAACTGACTTCTTGCCACTCTATTCAGAGGCATAAGGCCATAGTTGTGATCATGGTCGCGCCATCGTTTATGCCCCGCACTTGGCATTTGAATGTGTTTGTTGTGTTTTCGTGTGAGGGAAAGGCGCGGCTATATTTAGACCCTATAAATTATTAATATTCTAGTTTTCCAGCTTTTACAAAAGTTCCCTTAGCTCTAGGCTGCTGCCAGGTGACTTCATCACTTTTAATTTGGTAATATCTCACTTAGCAGTTCCTTTGTGCCCGACTGCAGGCTATCGGGGAATTTGATATCGTATGAGACTAGCAAATCACCGCGTCGTGATGGTTCCTTGGGGAATGGTAACCCCCGACCGCTTAACCGCTTCACTGTGGTGGGTTTGATAATTTCACCTTGGGAACTGACTGTAATGCGATCACCTTGTAATGTGGGTACGGAGACGGTTGTGCCGCAGAGCGCCTGTTTCAAGCTAACCTGGGCTGTGTAGCGCAGATCACTGCCTTCTCGCTTAAACACTGGATGTGGCTTGTCACGGATTATGAATACAATGTCGGCTGGTATTCTGCCGGGTGTTTGGTCACCCTCCTGGGGGAAGGTGATTTTTGTACCAGCCTTCCAGCCGGGCTTGACACTGATGTTCAACACTTTCTCTTCCTTGCGTGGCTGGCCGGACGACATGGACATACGGGATATTTTCATTTTCTTTACACAGCCCCTGTCAATTTCCTCCAAGGAGACAAACAAATCACGTTCAATGGGTGGATCTTGTTGGGTGCGTTTACGATTTGGCTGGGCATTGAAGGATTGTGAACGGAAGGCACCACCTCCTGGTCCGCCGCCCATGTACATATCATCATCGCCCATAAACATTGTCTGCGACTCAAAGATGCGCGACGGATCGCCCGAACCAAAGAAGATGCCAAATGGATCTGCATTGCCAAAGAACTGGGCAAATGTAGCCCTGGGATCGCCATGATAGTGGTAAGGATTGCCGCCATCCATGCCTCCAGCTCCGGGTACTCCACCCTTCAAGCCCTCCTCACCATACTGATCATAAATATCACGTTTCTTTTTGTCCGACAACACTTCATATGCCTCGGCGATTTCCTTGAATCTTTCCTCCGCCTGTGGAGACTTGTTCTTATCCGGATGGTATTTCAATGCCAATTTGCGATAGGCCTTCTTGATTTCGTCATCCGAAGCACCTTTATTGATGCCAAGAATTTTATAGAAATCTTTTCCCATTGTTGTTTGGTTGTTGTACTGTGACGTTATTTATTTGTCGATTTCTGGGTTTTTGTTGCTGTTGTTGGGTTTTGTCACTCTGTAATGAAAAAAAGCACAAGATTAGAATACAATTACACTACCAACACCCCACCACCGCTCACATATCGACGATTTGTTATGCGAGTGGCAAATTAACAAAATTCTAGAGGATTTTTCGTATTCGCATCTAGATGTTCTAGCATGTTCGAGAGCGAAAAAATTACATTCGTCTGTGTTGTTTTTTATATTATTGCCTGCTTTCCTTGCCCCTCCACCACAAGTTTACCGCTTCAAAGTATTCCATTTATTTCTATCTCAATGGGGAAACGTCAAATATTGCTTGGTCTCATTTCAATGCACTTATGCTTGCTCTCACCAAAAAAAAAATCGAGAGAGAGCATTATATGATTTCATCGACAGAAATTCGCGTAACTTTTGCAAAGAAATGCAATAAACTTTATTGTTTTATTGATCTTTTTGTAAATATATTTAAGGAAATTTTACTAATTAACTTTCCCAAAATAAATCATTCTTTGTTATTACATGTTCTTTGTATTTTTTTCGCTCTCGATGCTGGCACTTTTTTTATTGGGGAACAACAACCCACCTTTTGTATGAGATGCCAATAGTTTTGTTGCTTTGTTTTTAATACGTTGCACTTTTTATTTTCTGCTTTGTTATTATTCTCCTTTATATTGATATTAGTTGTAGTTTTATTTAAAATGTATTACTTCTTTTTATTTAGCTTGATATTCGAATAGTATTAGAAATTGAAAATTTAATTCACGTTTAACTAACTTCTCCGTTGTTCCTTTGTCTCTTCTTCTTTTATTAATAGCGGATTTCAAACTCTCGCACTTATATATATAGCCATGTTTCATTTTCTCGAATGTTCCAGATAAAAATGACATTTGTTTTGATTACTCACTGTGGTGTTGCCAATATGAAATTTATTCATGATAACCGGTATTTGTGGAGAATCTGTTGTCGTTACAAAAAACAGACAAATTCCTAAAAAAAATTGAAAAGATAGAAAGTTTTAGAGAAATATTAAATTATAATATTTTAATATTGGCCAAAAACTTTAAATAAAAAAAGAATATATAAAAAAAGATGGAACAAATAACATGAAATGTCATTTAGAATCACTAAATATTACAAAGAAGAAAAGAGGGTAAACAAACGGAAATGTCATGAGATCAAAAGTTAATCCATTTCTCTAGTTACTTTCTTGGTAGAATCAAGGAGGTAAAGTCGGGCAATCATATGTTTACATTTTTTCAAAAATTATTCATTTGACATCTCATTGTCAAAATTTGTATTTATAAATCGATTGTACATTCACAAATCAGAGATGGGGACCTGTTTTTATATAGTGAAATGTGACAAGGTAAATTACAGAAAATGCAGAGATGGGTATGCTTATTTGAAATGACTTTACCTTTTTAATGTTACTTTGTAATTGAGCAACCTTTATTATTGAGCCTTGAGTAAGTTTATAGTTTGTTCTGTGCTTTGTTTGAAGAATACAGGTAGATGCATCAACGCTTGGGAGCATTGATATGTCAAAAAATTTTAATGTTTTTTTTTTTTTTTCAAATATAAGTAGATTTTTATATGTTTTCTTATACTACGTCATTCGGAGGCTATTATAATTCGCGTTTTCAACAATTTTTACAAATTAAATAATTTTTCCTTCAACATTTTCAATTCCAAAATTGGTTTGACAGTTCAATGTTCCAGCAGCTGTGTCGACGCGTCTACCTGTATTCTCCTACCATGGTCTACATATTTAGTTTGAATCGTCTACGAACGACTTTTGCTACGAAAATGCGTGGCTCAATGTGTACGTAAATATGCTTAAATCGCGACTTCGACGTGAAAATACAACACTGTAGCCATTTTTGACTATCATAACCCTGAGGCTATGCCCGCTTCCTGCCAGATTCATTCAAAATTTAATACAACAAGTTGTTTTCCTTTTTTTCATACACAAAATTGGCAGAAGTCGGGCACACTTAGAAAAAAATTTTAATCAGCTGGTAGCTCTACCTTACCTTTTTATTGTACCATGGGTAGAACAACCTCGTGAAACTACAGAAATACAGCCCTGAGATGAATTCAGATAGTCGCATCGATACAGCTGATGGGACAATGAACTGTCAAACCAATTTTGAAATTGAAAATTTTGAATGAAAAATTATTGATTTGTATCGTGGAAGAAAACATATAACAATGTACTTATTTTTGTTAAAATATTTTAAAATGTTTCCCATATCAATGTTCCCGATCGTGTATTCTTCTACCATAGTTGCACGTCTATCCTAGTGTTTACACAAGCCAAGTTGTCTTAAATTCAAATTCTATTTTACAACCAATTATGCACTGCTACAATTATTTTTGAACTATCAATCATTTTTCAACGACAGTAGATACAAAAAAATATTGTTAAAAAATGATTTTGCAATTATCTGTGCTAAAAGAAATGAACTCTGAAAATAGGTAAACTCAACGGGATTCCATAAAGAAAAACATTGAACTAGTTCACGTTATCTCCCTTGGGTGAATATGTAGTTCTATTGAACTTTTATGTTCCGGAACGAAAAAATATAATTCAGTGTAAAAATAAAATAAACAAATTTTTAAACGAAAGAAAACATACAAGAACTCTTAATAATGTTCGAAAAGTTCGGAAAAAGGATGGCACGATGACTGCTATTATCATTACAAATCTCAATATAAACAATAAATACAAATAAGTTGAATTTTTGCTGTTTTGTTCAAGAGAAATTCTTCTGGTGCCTTGAAACTACAACGGTGCAGAAAAAAAAACAATCCTTTGGGTAAGAAATGAAAAAAAAACTATTTTGCTGATGGTTAATTCAGCGGTTGTATAAATGTGGCATAGATGGGGATATCGGGAATGCCCTATTAAAAGAGTGTTTAAAGTAATCAATGCTGGTATGTAAAATTTGTATTTGCACAATATCGCTGGCCATGTAAAACTATTTGTATTTTGTTTTTTTTTTTTCTCTCTTTTTGTTTTCAAAGTGTCATGGTCCTTGAACTATATTTGCGATGCGTTTTTGTCCTTTACTCAGATGACATAACATCCGTAGACCTAGTTGTGTGTGCCCAAAGTGGAGATTAACCAATGAAAGTACTTGAACAACAATGAAGATCAATTTATGATTCAATTTCTAGAAAGTTTATTATTATGCCGAATGACCTAGAATAGATGTGTGCTACATGCTATTCAGGTTAGTATGTGGGATTGTTAGTCTTCAGAAACGGAACTTAAAGTTACAAAATGTGCCTTCCAACTAATAATAATTAGTTCTGTTTGTATAAAAAGTTGTATACACAAGGCTTAGAACAATTCAAAATCCGGCGTCGCATCGTTTTGGCAAATAATAACATAAATTTTACCTTTTTGGAAAGATTGGGGCGTAAGCTATTTTTTTTTAATATATTTGTTTCCACTTTCGAAATGGATCGTTTTTGTGTTTTTTTTTTTTTTTCCTTTAAAATCTGGGACAAAAAATCAATTTTTGATACATCTCCTGTTCTTTTTTAAATATTCATTAGGTTTCAAATGATATCCGGGTCCGTCCGTAAAAATACCTATCTCTGGAAGACATTAAAAAAACTAGAGTTTTTATTTAACTAAAGCTGAAGTGGAATTCTTATTTTTTGAGTTACCGACAAAAGTTTGTAAAATTAAAAGGCTTATAATTTCGGCAATTAACGTAATGTAGCAATTTTAGTTTAAAAGTTACCGATTCTGTCGGTCTCTCAAAAATTGAGTTAGAGAATCCCACTACTGTTCCAAATCCCACTACAGTTTTTACATCCAATTAAGGAAATATGGGTATCAGTGTGAAACTCTTGAGGTCCGGTTAACAAATGTAAATTATGTAAATTCTGCTCATAATGCGGTTTGTTAGGGCGTCTGCCAAACTTAATTTTAATGCATCCTCATTATTCATTTTGAAAATGGTACCATAATAAGCTCCCTGAGCCCTGATTACAACAGTGCACATATTGCGGGAGTTTTTCTAATGTTTTTCTACCCAACGTTTTTTATACCCTCAGTCATATGGCTACAGAGGGTATATATCATTTGATACGGTCAAAACGTGCCTCATCGAAATAACGGCTCAGACCCTAGGTCTCTTTGGGCCAAATCCGTTTTAGGACATTTCGAGTCGATTTAGCGGTGTCCGTCCGTCCGACTGTCTGGCTCTCGAAGGGAGTATCCGATTTGATCCAAACTTGGTACATTGTAACATTATTGTCAAACTGAGATCGAGTTCGGAGATGGGCAATATCGGTTCATTCCTTCTAGTACTTCTCCCACTGAATGTCAACATTTCCAAGAAAATTATTTACTGCATAGAAAGAGAAAGGATAATCCGATTTTGCTTCAACTTTGAAAATCCTAATATTTGCATCAGTTCTAGGTCAGGTGTGAAAATGAGCAATATCGGTCCACTCCATCCAGTACCTCCCCACAAAGTTATAATTATAACTCTTATTAAATGTGATGTAAGAGTCCGATTGTCTTAAAATTACACACATCCCAATATTTTTATTTACTCATAGTCTGGTGTGAAAATGGAATCTATCGCTCCACTCCTTTTGGTACCTCCCACTAACGGGTCAAAATTTACAATATTCATGAAGCTCATAAAACACGAGAATAAAATCCGATTCCATTGAGACTTGTCACATCTCAATATTTCCATTAACACAAGATCTTCTATAAAGATGCTAGAGATCGGACCTTTTCTTCTGGTACCTCCCCCACAAAGGGTGAATATTTTGAATAACCAAAACGATCATGAAATTCGAAATAAGCATCCGATTCTCAAGTTTCACACATACAAACATTTTTACTAACAGAAGATATGTTGTGTAGTGATATATAACTGTGAACCGCTTCTGGTACCTCACCCACAAAGGGTCACAATTCCTAATAATTATACAGGGTAAGTTAAAAAAAAACTGCAAAAAAATCAAACTTCGTAATTTTATTTTTTTTTAAATTATTAAATGAAAGCAAAAACTGTCGGAAATAGCATCAAATTTTAGATCAAATTTAGATTTGTTCGAATTGGTTGACCTTCGGCAGGAATTATGGCCTTCAAACGGCCAATGAAACCGTCACACTCTGCGCGAATGTTGTTCTGCGTTATTTTGGCCAATTCCCGGTGAGGGAATTCACACTTTGATATTTTTTAATGCCAACCTTGCCTTCCAAAATGCTCCAGACACAATAGTCCAACGGATTGGTATCTGCAGATTTTGGGGGCCATTGTGCGCTGGAAATAAAAAAGGATCCTCATTTTTTAACCATTCTTGGGTGGCGCGTGCTGAGTGCGATGATGCTGAGTCCTGTTGGAATGTTCAAGGTCTGTGGTCAAAATGATTGCGTGCCCAAGGCTTTAATACAACCTCCAAAATATTTTCGCAATAATATTCGGCATTTATTCTGATGCCACGGTCGATTAATACGAGCGGAGAGAGACTATCGGCTGTTATGGCGGCCCACACCATCACCATGGCCGGTTCTTGAGTTCTGTTTGCCAACCGAAGGTGCACAAATTCAGCTGACCTCTTTGGCAAGTAAACACGAAAATTTTGTTTGTTTAAAAACTGCTGGACAACGAATGTTTTGTCATCGGAAGAAACCAAATTCGGCACTTCACCACTTTCGGTCAAGCGAAGCAATTCTTTAGCTCTTGTGAGTCTAATTTCTTTCCGTTGCGGTGTAAATTCTTGCACTTTTTTGGAATTTCAATGGCTTTACCCCGAGCTCATTTTTCAATATTTTCCGATTCTCACTAAAATGCTTTTGTACGCTTGTAAACAATATAATGAGCTGTCACTGGAATAATTTTAACAGCTGTCGGACGAGTGGCTCATAAATGACAGCAGTCTAAAGTTGGTTACAGTTTTTTTCATCTCACCCTGTATGACTATGCTACTATGAAGGATCTTCGCTCCTTTCTTATGTAGATGGTCCACTGGTGTCATAAAAAGGCAGTTCTCAGGGCAGTACTCTGACTAGCCTGGACATCCAGCTATGTTCTCATCTCCCCATGACCATGTGGTAAAGAGTGTGGCCGTTGATTTAGTGGCTGATATTTTCCTTGGAAGTAGGTCATTAAAAAAAGGGGCCCGCCATGAAGAGGCAGGACTTCCGGAAAGATAGATGTTAAACAGTTCCGGAGAGATCACCTCACCTTGGGGAACTTACTGTTTTACTATGCTGTTTGCGGTAAAATTTGCAATGGTGTCCCAACAATGCGTGTTGTTTCGGATAGTCTATAAATAATAATTTATTTTGACTCCAGCTAATTTATTTCAAAAATAAAACAATTTTTAGAGGTTTTTGAAAAAATTTAATAAAAAAATATAATTTTTCGTAAAAATTATTAAAATATTTTCGAATAAATTTTACTTATCTGCGGGGAATTGCCTTGCATTTTATTACTTCTAGACATTTATATTTTGATGTTTCATCTTGTTTTTCAATAAAAATGGAGAAGGCAAAAATGTGCTGGCCGAAATGGAATGTTGTATGGACATTGAATCGGTCGGTGGTGGAGGAGAGACGGTGAAAACATAACAAACCGCGATGATGACTATGACGAAAATTTATTAAATTTTCATATTCATTTAACATTTTTCCTTTGCTTTTCTATCGCGCTCTCAGGCTTTGAATAGCGAAACGCATGTGTGAGATTTGTTCATTCTCTCTCCCTCTCTCTTGATTTATTTTACACTCTACTCAATTTGTCGAAATATTGACGAAAATATCTGCGATCCGCGGCACGAAGATGCCACTCTGAATCGTTGTTAAATCCGAAACGGACGTGTTGCGCGCGTGAGATATTTCACACGAAACGTATATTCCGCAAGGCGACCATATACTCACCAAATTAATTAGGTTAGAAAAAATTCAAAATTTCCTGTTGAAAAGTAAAAGAAAAGTATTTTTGGAATCAAGTTTTTGTTTTACTTAAATGGAATTTAAAAATTTTAAAAATTCGTTTTATAATTTAAAATAAAAAAACGAGCAATTATTTTTAGAAATGTATATTTAAAACGGATGTTGATTGTCTGTCGCCAATCCATATATATGTGAAAATGTGAAGACGTTCCACTTTCGTAACCGATCTGTCATTATTTGTGAAGTGTGTATACATTTGTGTGAAACCCATTGAAACAAAAAAAGAAGAAAAGAGGAATTTATATCTATACAGACAATTTGAATAATTCTGGGTTCCCAAATAAAAATTCTCCATGTGAAGAATATGGCAATTATTTCAAGGTGTGAACCTATCAATGAATATCTTCAAATAAAAAACAAATCGAATCAATAGAAAATAAAATAAAAATCAAATATTTTATAGTGTGTAATATCATTAAAAGATAAATAATTAAAAATAAATTCGAATTCACATTCAATTTTATACGAATTGCTCGAAGGAAATGATGTTTAAAAATAGACAAAAATTTGAGAGCACCAAAAAAAAATCAAGCAACGAATAAAAGATACCAACATCAACAGAAACAGAAGCATCATCATCAACAGTAGCTGTAGCAGCCAGCCAGCCAGCATTTGTAGCAACAGCAACAACATCACAACAATCCTCGCCATAAGAAACAACATCATTACCATCATCATTATTATTGTTGTTGCCGTTGTTGTCGTCGTCGTTGTCATTTTGAGAGAAATGAAAACTAGCAAATATTTGTAAATAGTTCAAATCAAATTTTTAAGAAAAAAAGGAAATTGATTTGAAAATTAAATAGTATATGTACGCTTATACCT